ACCACTAAGAATAATATATGCAGTGTATTATTTGTTGAAACTGTACTTCCGATTTGATTTGAAACTGTCTCATTGCTATATGTTTATCAATAAAACTGTAGAAAAAAAAAAAAGAAGTTGAAGATTTATATTCAGTGTTTCTAAAACATTGAGCAATCTTAATACAGAAAAGACCTGTGTCCTGAAACAGAGGCTCAGATTTAGGATCACTGAGGGAGAGGTTTTAGAAATGAATACAAATAATATTGCCTGAAGTGAACTGCAGGTCTCACAACTTCCAGACAGTAACTGGGCCCTCAAAGTCAGCCTTTTTTGTATAATATTCTGAAACAAAAAAGTGTATACAGTCTGACCTCAGAAGTCTGACATATGTGCTTCTAAAATGTATAAGATTTAGGGACAAATTATGTCCTACGTGAGTGGCTAGGATTCCTACTGAAAACGTGCAAAAGGACTATAACAAGGACCATCCTATTTTAAATGTGGTTTGGAATATAGGCATTGATTTTAGGGAACTCGCTACAGTTCTAAACTCCTGGAATTATCATGCTTTTCTACACAGCAGCATTTGGAATGAGATTTCACTCCAATAAAAAGTGCCACAAAATATTAATAATGAGCCAAGAAGACAAAATGTACACACTATGACTTCAGTATTACCTTGGACCATGGTTGGTATTAAATCATTCTACTACAACCAGCTGGGTACGCTGCCTTGAATGTTGGAGCCACTCAAATTTCACAGAATAGCTTTATACCAGCCTGTACCTGTGGCTTTCATGAATATGAAGGTGACAAGATTACCATATGCCACATGTGTTTTCTGAGATGTTCTCTCATTCCTGTCACCAAAACCGGAAATAAATGGACATGGGCAGCAGAGGTGTCTGATTTCTATCTGCGACTTGCCCTCTTGCTTTAATGAGCAAAATGTCTATATGACTTTCTTTTCTGGTCAGACACCAAATAAAATCATGCTTATGACAGTTCTTAACAGTCCACTTCAACTGAGCTAATGAATAAACTGTGCTCTATACTTTGCAGATTTAAGTAGAGAGACTTTTAACTTATGCTAACATTAACCTCCCGCCCCACAGACTGGAAAAGGATTGTCTTGGGAGCCATGCTCTTGGCTTGCAAATTTTGGCATGATGAAGCTGTTTGGAATGGAGAGTTCTGTAAAATAGTCAAGGAAATTTCAATTAAAGACATATGAGTTTATAAGGGTTTGTTGACTTTTGTAACCATTTTCCAGTTCACTTGCCCCTAAGTGCATGCATTTTAAGAAATATTTTAAAATACTATATTTTATAGCAAATGGAAATAGAGAAGCTTTATTGTATATCCAGTTATAGTACACAATTTCATATTTCCATCATTAGTTGGTAGGTTTTGATGGATTTATTATTGTAATTATATGCCACATAAACTGAAAATAGTTCCGGTGATTTTTGCCAAATATTTTATAAGCCTACCACCAGAATAACATAGTACAGTGTACAACTTTAGGGCCTTCTAATAACTTCCAGTTCCAGGTCCTTCTTTAAAAGCTATTATGTCAGGTTTAGAAATATATGCATGGCTACTCTTGGTCATAGAATTACCATTTTGGTTGAGATATAGCTTCAGCCCATTCAGTGCTGCATGCTTGCTTTTTATGGTTTAAGCCCAATTTCTCAACAGAGCATCTGTCACTAAAATAAGCAGGATATGTGAGAACAAACGCTCCAGATACCTGTCCTGTGGCAGTGTTGACTGTGTAGAAATAGGTCTGATGTGCTCTGATTTCACATGTCTTGAGTATGCAGGGGCAGTTGCATAATGATATGGCAGAGGACTGCACTAGTCATTTCTTTTCCAATGAACACAATGAGAGAGAGAGAGAGTGTGTGTGTGTGTGTGTGTGTGTGTGTGTGTGTGTGTTCTCTTCTAGTGAGGGAAAGCAGATCTTCGATTATCTCAGCAGAGAAAAATGAGTGTGTGCGTCCAGAACTCTACCTGAGGATATCTCCTACAGGGGATTCAGTCTACCCAAAATTGCTTTCCCGGATGTTTCTGACTTTCACAGTTTCAAATAAGTATGTAGTCTTTCACCACAGTAATATGGTGTCCTTTGACACTGACTCACATACTTGGATGGTGAAGTGATTTTCGTTGACATACTGTATCGTTTTCTTCTTTCCTTGTTGACTTCTGATAAATGCTTGTTGCTGGAAGAGTTTGTCCACTCATAGAGTGCTGTGTCTTTCCTTGTTTCCCTTGTACTTCTGTAAGTCTTTCCAATAATGAGCTACTGAAGATGTCTGAAAGTTCTTCTGGGCTAACACAAGACATACCTGACTTCTTTTGTCTGCTCACTGTAGCATACGTTCATGAATGTCTGTAGAGTGGGAGTCACACAGAGGCTTTGGTGGACTCTGAAAAAGGAACCATGAGCCAGCAGCAAGCAGGGATTAGCAAACATACTTTCCCCCTCTACCCCAGTGCAAAAGAACAGGGATTCTGAAAAGTCTTCAAGTAGATGTACAGTGTGGCATCAAGTGTTTCCTTACAGTTGGACAGCCTTCCAATGTCACAAAACTGAATTTATAGCAATCCTGCAAGCTCCAAGTGACATTTTGGAAGACAGCCCACCTGAGTACAATTTTACTTTATGTGTTTTTCTGTATTCTTCCTCATCAAAAATCAACTAGAAATGCATTACCTGAATATTCTTCAGTTTACTCTTAATGTGTCTGCCAGTGTTTATGCAAAATATTACTTTGACCTTCGCTCTTTGATAAAAGATCACCACCTGCAATTTGTGACTGCACTTCTCACCAAGGAAAGAGCACAGAACTTAAAGGTAGGGCTGTGTTTCCTCTAAGGAGAATGTTCTGTGAGCCACTCGGAGACTGCATCATATAAGGTGGGGATGGGAGTAATACAAAGTGTCCGTATACACATTCAAGAGATCACTAACCCATTGGAGTAAGTCATTTCCAAGTCACTTATCCTTTATAGATCCACATTATCATTAAAAGAGACATTGACTTTGACACCACTTGAGCATACTTTAGTAAAACTTAATTTGATGAGGCCTCAGAACATAACTTGGCGGTCTAATCACCAGCCTGGAAAGCACAAGGGGCTTGCTTGCATCCGCAGTAACACATGCTGTACCACCCCCAAACCCTGCGTGCACCATGCAGGCCACTGAAACAAGCCGTGATGATGCACTCCTGTAACCCCAGTACTGAGGAGGCTAAGACAGGAGGATCGCTGTGAGTCTGAGCTGCATAGACATACTCTGCTCCTAATGAAGAAATACAAAATATTAAAATGTTTTCATCTGATGATAATCATTTCCTTTTGAACCTTTTCTTTACTCTAATGATCTCTTTAAGTCTCCAATATCATGATTCACTCCTTGTAGCTCCTAGAGGTTATTTTTTCCTTACCATGCATAGAAATACCACTCACTAAACTATTTGTGCTTATGTTTGACTCAATTTCCAAATTCTTGTCAGAATTCCACTGTTTCAACTCAAACTCACAATTTCCTGATATTTTTGTGCCTAGTATGCGAGGCCCATATTTAGGATTTATGTTAGGCTTGTGTTTCACATATGGTAAGTAGAGGCTGGGGAGATGGCTCAGTACAATAAGGTCTTGACTGTCAAGGGCCTGAGTTCAACCCCTAGTTCCGAAAAAATTACAGCAAGTAGGAAGAAGTCAGGTTTTAAAAGTAAGAAACAGCTTGCATGGGGCAAGATAACAACATTTAGAACATTTTTGCTTAGTGTACACCAAATACTTTTGACCTGAACTAGAGGATTATACTCAAATATCACCCTCTTCAGGGCCTCAGTAGCACAGTAAGTTCCCAAATTAGAAAGCTATTTGTGGAAACCTTACACAGATAGAATAGTGCTCATTTTCTTCATGTTTTACATTGTAGATTTCTGTCTTAGGTCAAAGACTCATTTGGGGGGAAGCACAAATGTATCCAACTTAGGAGTAACTGAACACAACTCATTAAGTGGCCTGCAGTTTACTGATTTTTGGTATTTTGAGTTTCTCTCTTCTAAATCACGTGCACTTCAAGGGCATGCTTTGATGTTTCAGTCAATAAACCTGTCCAGTCCTACAGTAGAGATCACTCTGCCCTCTGTGGAAACAGCTTAAAGTTTGGAATAACTAATAAATTTCAGGTGGGACTGACATAGCTCAGTCAATGTTTGATGATTCTTTTGCTCCCCTATGCATTTACCATGTTATTATCATTGTAGTGAACAGTTACTTAGTAGAACAAGGCATTCTTAAGAGACTGTCACAAAATCCTTGCCATCCATGAAAACACCACCTGAGTGGAGCCTATCACTTAACTTCCCCTTTAATATTAATTGTATCAAGCACCTAAAACGAAGTTAGGGTACTGGCAGGAAACAGCAGCCTCATAACCTGCCAATGCAAGCCTCAGAAGGCCAAAGCAATGTGGTCAGAAAACATCTACAGGAGTCTGTAGCATGAATGTACATCAAGCATAGGGATTTTTCTTTAACTTTGCAATCTTTTACAAGTATTCCACCTGCATTCCCTTTCTTCTCTTTTCTAGGCTATGTCAACATTTTGTGAAGATGAAGACTTGTGCAGAGCTGCTATGAAGCCATCTCGCAGCAATGGCAATGTCATGGTTATTGGACTGTCAAATGCCATCCTCTCATAAAAGGAAGAAACGGAGACTTCAGCTCAGAACCCCATCATTTACCAAAGCTGAAGTGATACCACCTATCTCTTGATTACATAAAAAACTCACAACCTTCAACATTTTACCAAAAGGAAATACCTTGGACTTAAGTGACTCCTGGACAGAGAAGGTCATACTTCATGAGAAAAGAATTTGATAACACAACACATGACATCATGATATCCTCATGCACAAAAGATGAAGAAATAATAACCACCTATGCCTGGAGAACAAAATCAACAATTTGAATATTTTTATCAGAAGGAAAGATCAGGAATTTAAGGAACCTTGGAGAATGAAATGTGTACCTCATGAAAGAGAAACTTCTTAAAGCAGGAACACATAACCTTTCTTGATTGATCTGAGCAGCGCTACAAACACTGCAAAGCAGGAGCACCCCGCTGACAGAGACATTTATTACTTCACAGGCCAAAGTCTGTGAGTTTCATTAGCTTCTGGAAATAAGACCTCAAATTTAAACTCATTTAAAATTTCAATTTTTAAAATTAGATCATGAACACATCAAAGACCTAATTTAAAAAAAAATAAAGTTCTAAATGAGTTTAGATTAAAACTCTTACTCAAAAAACTTTATGGAGCTCAGAGACATTGGCCTGTGAAGTAAGCAAATGTCTGTTTTACCTGGGTAGTCCTACTTTGCAGGGTTTGTAACTCTGCTCACATCAAGGAAAGAAGGAGGTATGTTGCTACTTTAAAAAGAGTACTCATACAACAGCTATCCCTCTGTGCATACTACTCTGCATCCCCTTAGGATTTGTCATACCACCTTTAAATTACCAAGGAAGTAGTTGGTTGCAGGGAGCAGTGGGTAAAATCCAGGATCTTAGCCATGTACTGGGCAGTCTCCACCATGGAGCTACCCACTAGGCCCATACGTAGGAGTGTTCTCTCATGAGACTGATGTGAAGTACGCTGCAGCACTGTCATGTATTGAAAGTTTTTCCTTCATGTGCTATCATTGAGTTGCTAGTCCCTATTCTGAATCAGTTTATACCTAAAAGGTGCTGAAAAACAACACAAGCCATTTGTGTTCTTGGAAAATGCTAGGTACTAGGCCAATTGTATGTTTGTGATCCTAACTAGAAAGCATCAGTTATTGTCTGTCACCTTATGTTTGGCTTATTGATGCATCTTGTCACTTCTTAATTGTACTTCTCAAATACTGATGATTTTCCTCTTGATAAACATGTTCGTATTTCCATAATGAGAACCAACATGGTGGTTCAATGATGATTAAAGACAGTGGAGTACAAGATGTCGCAACAGTTCTAAGCCGTTTTAAGATGTAGACAACTGTGCATGTGTCTTCTGGTGTAGTGCAGCAAGTATAAAAGCTTCCAATTTTACATCTTTGGAATGTCATGTGAAGCAAAGAATTTTTCTCCTCATATAAAAATAGTACTTTAAAGACACTGAAACATAATTTTGATCACTTAAAGTTATTGTCTCTACATGTTGTAAAGGAAAATTAGTAAGATAGTGTTCATTAACATGCATTGAAAAGGAATTAGACTCCATTGGAAAGTTTCACTTTGGAAAATTTCAATTATTAACCATTTACTTTTAATATTTTTTCTGGTGCCATTAAAGGGAATAGAAAGGACAACAAGACCAAAACATAAAATTAAAAAGTTGACATTTGACATTCAAGAAGTTAAAATTTTCAGATAATACATGCAGAACTTGTAAGCCGTATATTTCCACTGCTTTTAAAGCTTCAAGGAACACTGTGATTTTTGGAATGTTATGTATGTCAAAGAATTTTTCTCCTCTTTTTGTATAGTATTTTCATAGCGCTAAATTACAATTTTGAAGAGTAAAATTTATTTTCTCTAGATGTTGTAAAGGAAAATTACTAAGACTGGTGTTCATTCACACATAATGAAAAGCAATTATACTCCATTAGCAGCAAGGGATATGAAAGCTTATTTTAAAATCTATGCTGCATGTTACCAGGCCTATTAGGCCTCTATTGCAAGGGTTTCTGCGCAGAAACAACTTAGATCTACTTTAGGAATGTTACTATATAGCACAAAGTATAAAGTTTATGCTATCTTGGAAGATTTAGAACAATAGCTCATAAATTTGAAAAATTAAACAGCATGAATATTCTTGCCACAATGAAAGGTATACCACTTACCTCTCAAATGGAATGCTAGGAAGCTTGCCTCTAACAACTGATACAACTGCTTCTCACGGTGCAATTCTACGCAGACCATTGAGTGCTGCTGGCTGCAACACTCTTCAAAGAGACTTGAATGAAGAGCACTAGCAATATTGCCATCTCTCCCCTAAAAGGACAACTGGGAATGAAGATCCAATTGGAACATGTGCATATCGATGGCAGCCTTCCTTTGAAAACATGTAAATCTCTAAGTGGTTTTTCATGCTCTTGTTAATATTTTGTAAGCTAATAAACTTTTAATAAAACAAAGCTAGTATTTTTGTTAAAATTTCTCTATAATCACATCTCTTCAGAATTAAAATATTTTACATGATTCTAGATGTGTTTAAAGTGTTCTTAAACTGATCCCACAAAAGTTTCCCAAATTAAACATTTTCTCTGAAGCTTTCATTTACAACGCAACCATAATGTACATTGACAGTGTGTTTAGGGAGCAAACCATGTGACAAGATAATCTTTCCTAACACAAGCCAAAGAGAAATGAACAATGGAAATATAAATTTAGCTGAGGGGTTTGAATTTTGCAGAGAGTAACTGCAAATAAATGAATTGCAAAAAATAAAGATGGAGATGCAATGCAGGGGTCACCAAAACGGTTCATATAGTTTTACATTAGCATACTGTTTTCAAGCACATAGTTCATTACAAATATAAAAGGATCTGGAAGCTTTCATCTAGAACTAACAGGCTGAGGTTAACGTTCACTGGCAAAGTCACCTGCCTGGTACAGGCAAGGAACTCATATTGATGCCAAGTACCAAAAAATAAATATAGATACACAGACGACAGATAGAGAGACAGAGATATAGAAATATAACTAGCTTGTCAGCTGTAGCAATTTTTAATCTCCATCTCATTGCTGTATGTTTATTTACTTATAATTTTCCAGGACCTACAGTGAAGTGGATATGACTTTATTTCTCTTAACCTTTATAAAATGGTAATCAGTCTGATTTAATAGTAAGGAAACCTTTTGAATAACTATGATTCCCACACTTTATCAGTTCCTAACAGGTAACTTCATGAGTAATCAAAAAATGAATTTTAAAGATCTTAGGATGAGGCACATTGCAAGTACAAATTGGAAGAAAAAGTAGGATCATTAAACTTGCTCTTCCCTCTTGGTCTGCACTATAGAATGTGACATGAACTCTACAATGTGGACAGTGAACCATATTACCCAATTAACTGCGTTCAAAGTAGGTAAGTTTTCTCATAAACTATGGAACACAGAAATAAAATTGCTGCCAAGGAATTGTCACTTAGGTCAGGTTTCTCAGTGAAGGCAACGTTATCATTTGAACCCCGAATATCTATGCCTCAGTTTCTTCATGTACTGGGGCATAAATCAAGGTCTTCTATACTAAGAAACATTCCTGTTCTGTCTTTATAATATTGAGATGGTTCCCAATGACCAAAGTTGGGTTCTTACTAAGCCGTTTGAATTCAAAATTATAATTCTCTTCCCAAATGAATCCTGGTATTGCAACTGATGACCTTCTTCTTGGATTCCTACTGTTTAAACTATTTTCTTTGTTCAGGTTTGGCAGTCCTACACCAGGGCATGTAGGTGTACCTCAGTTATCTTGTACTACACACACAGTCTCTTTAGCCATATTCTACCTTGGAGTGACCCATCTCTCAGTCAGAAGTTGCCTTCTTGAACATAATGCTACTTGGAAATCCTTGCCATCTGGAAAAAAACTGTTCTAGATATGTGGAAGTTGCTATGCTGAATATTTAAACTACATCTAGAAGTCTGTTAAGATATCAAATACTAAGGAATGATCTAGGAGCTTTTCAGTAAGTCCTAGTCATCTGTTGCTTTCAAACCAAGTGGGGTGTATGCACTGCTATTCAGAGACAGTTGTCACTGAAGGATGTTCAAGATGTCTGTCTAGCAGAGGCACTGTTAATTTCTGTTAGATAAATGTTAAAAAACTCATTAGTGGGTTAGGATCTCCAAGAGAACAGAAAACAGAGAAAGTATAACCAGAAAAATTGGAAGACTGAATTTTGAAACTAATTGGTAAAAACATCTTCAAAAGTGACATTCTTCTAAACTTCTGTAAACACCAACAAAGGGGAATGTGGGAAGGAAAATTCCATGCTAGTTCCAGAATAGAAGATCTCAGTAAAAACATCAATTGTATCTTCCTCAGAAGACTTAGAGGGATATACCTAATTTAAACACTTGGAAATACAACTTGTTTCAACTTCTACCCTTTGCCAATTCTACAACATTTCTAGCTTCACTCCACAGATGATGTTCTCTGAACTCAGTGTGAGAACTGACACATGTAAATGGTGGAAGATCTTCCAGGTCCTGGCCCAGTGCCTGATTCGCTGAGGTTTCTTAGGCTTTTCCACCACATGCCATACGACTTCATTGTCTTACCTTCAGCCATTGCACCACACAACAATGCTTTACACTGGCTACTATGACATACTTGTGAATCATCAGAACTACACGCAAGTAATTGCAAGTTATTCTTTCTTAGCATTGGAGATTGCACAACACAACGCCCATCTCATCTACACCCACTGTTTATTTGTTTGGTTTTTGTAAAGACATTCTCACTGAGGAAATAAGTCATCCTTTCTCAGTGCCTTTCAGTGCTGGAATGCACAGAATGAACCACCACGATGAGTGATGTGATATGGCGCTCAAGCAAGGTGAACCTAGCAATCTGTCATATTCAAGTATTGAACATGATTGTGTCCCTTTAGGCAGGTTTGGACAACTTTCTCTATTTAGCAATTATTCTGACTTTCAACCTTAGGTATGTGTATTCAGGTGGAGAACAAAATAAAATGCCTGCAATCCAAACTCTAATGTTTTATCCAAATTGGATGCCATCTTCAAGGTAACACACTATCATCACCTAGGGCAGGAGGCACTTCAAAAACCTCTATCAACACCACTCATTTATTCTCTTCTGCTTGAATGCTACTTGGTTTTCACAAACATGGCTGGCATGAATCTGAATTTATTTCCATTTTGAATTAGTTCACTGTTTTCTCAAGATGTCAACCAGGGTTATGTTGCACATAACTGCAACTGCCTAAAGCAAATGAAACATCTCTAAGGGAAGGAGAGTGAATCCCAAAATAGGTAATAACACTGTAAAAAGCTAATGAACTCTGGATTTAACAATGATGTGCCAACATGGACTTTGATACATTAAATGAACTGTATTAGACTAAGATTACAACAGAATGGGCATACAAGCGCTATCCTTAATAGTGACAACTTTGTTTTAAAACTTTGATATGATTTTAAATAAACAAAAATATTTCCAAAGTCAATAGGTATCTATCTCCAAGTACACACAGGCACGCACACACACACACACACACACACACACACACACACGCAGACACACAGTAAAACATTTACTTAAAGACATTTGATTTGGAATCCTTCCCCACATTGTTAGTAATGTAGTAAGCAAATAATAGAAATATCAAATCATTGTAGACGTTCTTGAAAATCTAAACCCAAGTTCCATGCCACTCAGTTGTCTCTCTTCTGAGTACATTCCCCAAAGGGAGACATCATATTAGAGTGATACCTGCATATATATATATATATATATATATATATATATATATATATATATATGGAACATACAGACTCCAATATCCAGAAACAGCCTACATAAGTTCAAAAGATGAGCAGATAAAGTAGTTATGATGAATACATAGATTAGATATGGACAGGTAGGTAGGTAGAGAGAAGGATGGATGGATGGATAGGCAAAGTGAACTCCTACTTGTCATAAGAAAGAGGCAAAGCAGGCCTTTTGCAGGGGAACCCATGGGAATTCACATTGAATCATAAATACATGTTAAGACAAAGATAGATTTTATTACATTTCCTTTACATAAGAAAAAAAAAATTCTTAGGTAGAAGGGAAAACTTAGGAATTCTAGGTGAGAAAATGAGAGAAAAAAAGGGGAATAAGAGATTCAGACATAATCAATAGAAGTGATATTCATGTACGAAAACAATATAAAGAGGATGTAAAATAATCCTAGCCAAATGGAAATGATATTTAAAAACATGGTAAACTCTCAGGCCTCAGGATAATGAAGCTCAATTGCTGGGGCTACCGTTTTGGAATCCATGATTCAGAGACACAATAAGTGATTCTTCTGCACTTTGACATTTAAAGTCTTTGTCTTATTTTCCTTCCTACATATGCACAGCTGTACCTCCTTGATCTTCAGGTGGCACTTAGATTCTTATGGTTTCTCCTACGTGCATCTAAAAGAATCACAGATGTCACTGTTTTCAGTGGCTGACACTGAAATTCAAAACCTTGGAAATACAACTACACACGGGGTGGTGGTAATTAAGCCTAACAATCAGAATTCCAAGTTGTTCTAATCTTCACTAGCTCTTCATATGAAGATTCCAGCTCTCGTCGAACATTCTTGCTCAGGACACAACTTTGCAAGCTACCTGGAGGTGTATAATGCCCATGTAGATATGTGACATCGGTGCACTGTCCTTTGCCTCAAATATGCTTCAGTTCATACAAACAAATTCTCTATGTTCTATCCATAAACTTGGCACCCTCGTGGACATCTGCACTACAGACTTCCTTGCTCCTAAACTTACTTGCCTGTGTATTCAGAGCACGGAGAGATGAAGGCATGCATGTAGAAGAAGATGCAGGAAGGGGTAAGTAGAAAAGGTGGTGATGTCAGAGTTGACTGGGTTGCTGATCATGAACCACACTTGAAAGAAAGGCTTTTTGCAACAATGTGCAAGAGGCAGAAGACTAGAGCAAGTGAAGTTTCCTTGAACCAAGAGGGGCTTAGGACACTGGCAGAGGAAGACATGATTACCCACATGGCAGCTCACTCCACCCTCATTGTATCTCTACTGTTCAGAATGTAAACTACCTAATACCTCTCTGTAATTGGCCAGAATGAGAAAAAGAGTAAATGGTAAATGTTGTTCTTGAGACCTACTGAGACCTAGACTATATTCACTACTACTTCATGTGGTCCACATATACACTGAATTCAGGATGTTTACACTTAAATAGGAGAGATATGAAAGCACATTTGTTCTCTCTCCATTCTCTGAGCTAGACACTTCTGAGA